ACAAGAATACAGGCCAGTGTAACCACAATCAGTAGTGGCACACGCACCCACACAGAACTGCTGATACTGCTGCTGTTGTCTGCATCACCCTTCTTGTTGTTTGTGAGTTCAGGAGGAAGTGTTGTTGTTGTGGTGGTGGTAGTTGAGTTAGTTGTTTCTGTATTGTCTTCAACCTCTTCTTGGGTATTTGTTGATGCACTCTCTGCAGATGTATTGCCGTTCTCTGTTGTTTCAGTTTCAGATTCAATGGCACTCCCCGTGGTTGAACTACTGGTAGAAGAAGAAGGTTGTGGTGCTCCACTTCCTTGGGTAGCCGCCCTTTCACCTCCTGCATTGTTGCCGCCCCCTTCAGTTTGCACTTCACCTGCAGCATCAGCCGCACTGACATCTGCATTAGGTTTAGCAGAATCACCAGGTGCTGGAATATCACCATTACCAGAACCACCAGCAGAAGAACCGGAAGAGCCGGTCTCACCCACTTGACCACGAACACCAGCGACACCCATTTCAGCAGTTCCGGCACGAGGACCAGAAGTACCACCGGGACCACTACGTCCATCTTCACTAGGATCTTTAGGTTCCTTTTCTTCAGGTGCTTTGGGAGGAACATGCGGTTCTTCTTCCTTATGAACTTCTTCTGGAGTAGGCCCCGCCCTGGTTTGAGTTTTGCAGTCTTGGTTCCCTCGTTCTTCACCTTCAGGGCACTCCAAAGTGTCACCACTATCTCCATGTTCCACAGCAGAAGGACGACACTTATCAGGTGTTGTTTGTTCACATTGTTTCTCTGGACAAGGCTGATCATCTTTATTTTTACCATTAATGCACTGAGAAACAGGAGTACCTTGAAGAAGTATCTTTGTCTCACTCTCCGTATCAGGGACTTGGTCTGACAGATCGGCGGCAGGCACTTCTGCACCACGATCACCCTTAGCTCCTTCAACACCAACAGGACCACAATTACCAGAAGAAGCAGGAGCTTCACCAGCACCAGTAGCAGCAGGACAAGGATGAAGAATCTTTGTTTCACTCTCCGTATCAGGGACTTGGTCGGAAAGATCGGCGGCAGGCACTTCTTCAG